TTTCTTGGTTCAGATGATTGACATAAGTTAAATGACTTTTTGCGCGGCTCTAAGGGTTAATCGCCGTAGGAATTTCCGGCTAAGCTTCTCTTTCGCTTCGATTTAAGCGTTGAGATTTTCTGGCCTCGAAGATATGACTTTCTAGGCGAGACCGAGCTCTGCAAATATTAAAAATAGCAAATTTCGAGTCACCAGCTTCTCTGATCTTTAATTTAATCTGCACGTGTTTACAGTTACAAAATCATGAACGCCTCCGCCCAATGCTTCCATTTAAATTTGAAATTGAAATTCATTGTAACGCTTGCTAAATATATCTTTTGCACATGCGTAAACTCTGATTAATTTTTCTGCACGTTTTTCGATTATCAGCTGTTGTAGTCGTCAAATGACTGAATATAAAAATGCCGTTACTGCTTGCGAGAATTGTAAGTGCCGCTTTTGTAGGCGCTCTCGAGTCACATGCGTCGACAGCAGACAACAGTTGGCAGCACGTTTTCATGACATTTGTTACTGCAGCGGCGACAACAGCAACTGTGAACAAACGAGACGGCAGACAAGGGGGGAGGGAACACACAAAGTTAAAAATTTTGCTTTGTAAAAAGTTTGCTTTAATTTGACTAACGCACAAACAGAGATATATGTATATAATATAATATATATAGGGTTTTACATTTTGCGGTTTCCAAAATAAACATAAATAAAATGCATTTAAAATAGTTTTTTTCATTAAATTTTTATTTTATAACAGTATTATTCAAATAACCTCCTGCGAAACTTCGAAAAATTGGAACCGTTTGAGGTGGTTTCGGCCATTTTTTGGCACATATTAAGCGGTATCAGCCATAACTTGACAAATTTTTGTTACCAAGGGCTCAAGACTTAAGAGGTGAACCGCATGAACATGATCTTTTGCGTAGCTCCACGAGAAAAGCTCGATCTCAGTAACCAATAAACATCGCCAAGACGAGAGATTACACGCAATAAAGCCAGATTTGCACATGTGGTGTGGCATGTAGCAATATGTTGTTGAAACCCCATATTGTCCAAATCGTTCTCTATAATTGAAGCCAAAAAATAATTCGGTTATCATACGACCATAAAGCTGTGGTTTGAGAGTGAGACAATCTCGCCCTTGTCGTTTTCCAAGAAGTAAGGTTCGGCCACACCTACCGACCAAAGAGCGTATCAGACCGTTACTTTTTTGGTTGTTTGGAGTCTTTTCGATTATTTGACGATTCTCGGAGCCCTAAATGCGACTATTTTGTCTACCTACATATTCCCCGAGTGAGAAATGCGGCTCGTCGCTGAAGAAAATTTTGGTCGAAAAACCAATGTCTACTGCTTGTTGTTCAAGCACCCAGTACCGCGTTGTGAATGGTCAGCTGGCTTCAGTTGTTGTTTCAGCTGGAGTTTATGACGATGTGGATGTAAGTCCGTTCGCCAAAATGTGTGTGCGTTCTAGGGTACTTCGAGAATTCTGGTCTTCGGCTACATTTGCACAGACCTTTCCATATCTTTAACCGATACAGTGTCTTCAAATTTCTTTAACATTTTACCAATTGCTTGTGTAGTTGGACGTTTATATGCACCATAATCACCGTTCAAACTGCCATTTTTGTTGTTGGTTTTAACTACTTTGACTCTTTGTGCGTTTATTAAGCGTTCAAGTTTATCGTATACGTGATTTTTGATTAAAACAAAACATGTTTGGCTTACTAGTTAAGTTTGATAAATGTCAAAATAAAGTCTCATACTTTTGTAACCACGAAACGGATAATCCTTTACACGTATACACACATAAAAACAAACATAAAAGTTTTCCATCAATAAAAAGTTCATGAATCCACTCCATACTCATGCAGTCGTCGTATGACCGTGTAGGTGTGTTGACAGGAAAAATGTTTTTGTGCTCAAAATTTGATTGCGTTGCTGGCTTGCACATGTCAACAGCAGAATGGCAAATCAAAACATATGTAAATGATACGCGCAAGATGCATTTGAGTTGTGAACAGCAACTTTGCTGCTCTTTAAATATAAATATGTATAGAATCGATGCAGGTGTATGTGTGGCTCCATGTGTGTGTGTGTGTCTCCATAGTTTTACGCCATGTCCTCTAAGGTTTAGCAGCTGATTGTTGTAAACAAACGTAAAATATATGTAAACAGGCATGTATGTATGTCACGGAAGAAAATTATGCCAGAGATTTCGGAAAAAAGAGAGACAGAGTGTATGTGTGTGTGAGAGAGACAGAGAGAGAGAGAGAGAGAGGCGGAGGGAGTGAGAATTGTGTTTCACTTTTGAGCATTATATTTGGCAGAAATATGCTAAGTAAGAGAAGCTGCTGAGAATAAAAGGCGAGAGCTGGTAGCCTTAGCAGAAGAATAGGCAATCCCTTTAAGGTAGAAGTCTGCATTAAAAAGTAATTCCAGAAACATACTAAAGAGAAGAAAAAAAAAACAAATCACCCAATCTAAACATTTAGCCAAACGAAATACCGAAAAAAGTCATCCCTCTTGCATTCTCAGTATTCCAATGGGACCTAACACCGTCGAGCCTGAATTTTGTGCTATGGTTGTATGCTGGCAGGCAAAAGTTTTGGAAAGTTTTCTCATGACTAGAGATATCTTGTCTGCTCCCGTTTGTTACTAGACGTGTTCGCTTCGCTTTCTTGTGCCGTCTGGGGTAGTCCGAACCTATGGCGCGTTTGTTTACGCAAATGATATCGATATCATCACCAAGCGTCGCCTGCAGCTGTACAGTATTTGTGGAAGATTTTACCTTTTCTATACAGTTTTGCAGCTGGTGTCATTTCCTTCCGAACCAAGTCAAGTAAAGAGCCACGTTTGTTTGAAGTGCCGTCTATTAGTGAACCGCATGTAGAGGTCTAATGAATATGTGACACTGCTTAGCGTTGGCCTCAATCATTGTAGGAGTTGGCTGCTCTAAGTTCTGCCAAAGAAAGCTTTAAAGCAAATGAAAGGGTGGTGCATACTTATTCTTTTCTCAAGGAGTTTTCCCAAAATTAGATACATCATTAATGATGTCTTTATCGGATAAGTTGAAAAGGTTCGCTTAGTTCGTTGACGGTGCGTTTTAATTATTTACAAAATAAGCTGGCTAAGAGGCTCATCTCATGGTAATTGGTACACCCACCCTTTTAGAGATCAACCAGAGCTCACTTAGCTTCCAATTTTCGAGTATGTTTTAACACGACAATCTTCTGAAAGGTAGCCGATCAGTTCCTTGCTGGCATATAAGAAATGTTACTATTCAGGCGCGCAATTGCTGCTCGGAGCTTTTGACGATTGGATATTGGAGCGTTTACTCCAGCGTCATCAATTCGATTACCCACTCATCATCGCTGGAAATTGCGTTTTTACTACCATTCACCAGTCGGGAGAAGTTTTACTAGATCATATCTCTGGGTCTTACAAAAGTTTGCTGACGTTTGGAAACCTACTGTAAGTAAAATTTTCTAATACACAGACAACCATATTTCGGGCGCCGACGAAGTCGATCAACCGTAGCCAGTTTGGGAAAGCATTGTAACGAAGGCTCAATCTTCCCTTACATGTACTCTGTAGTCAAAAGAGCCTACGCGTCTTTTTTCTTGTCTCGCTTATCGCAATTTTGAGTGGCAGGGATGTCAGTGTTAGTTTTTACAAGAACATCAACCAGCTCGTGATTTATAAAACCGTCTCTCATTCGGAACATTTTTTGTTTTCTTGTTTGTATTATAGGAAGAAACTTTTGGAGGTATTTGGACCTAAGGCCTACAGTAACAGTGTGCTCAACCTCTAATTTTAATTCGTCACCAAATGGATATTTGTATGCTACCTAGATGATATTTGGTATAAGACCAGAATTCATGAGCTGCTTAAACATATGTGAAAAATGCTTTCGAAGCACTCACATCAGACAAATTTTTGGAATACTAAAGGGATTATTTCATTAAAAAAATATAATGGTATTCAACATTATGCTCCCGAAGTGGACACAATATATTGGCTCGAACATGATTTGTCAGAAGCATAAATCGAATTTGATTCATTTCAGTTATTCGCCCTCTCTTTCGTGAGTGTTTCGTTGTGGCAAAATGCTCTGTTATATTTCTCTTTTAAATCTGTTTGCTCTCCGTACAAGTTTCGTCTCTGTGTACGTTTTTTTTTCTGCCACTGAGAAAAGCTAGGAAACCGTTCGAATTTGATGGGAAGCTACAAACAAAAACTACGCGCGAGAGAGTTCGCCTGTGAGCGCCATTTTTACTCGCTTTGACAATAAAATCCACAAAAAAAGTATATGTAAATTGAGAACACATTTCATTTGTATGTATATTTGTGTATGTATGCGTGTGTGTGTGCGTGTGACTGCAAGTGTTTATCAAGCCAATGCGATAGCATAAAAGGCACACTCGCTCAGTGATAAGATTCAGATAAACGGTAGTTTTGGGCGCGAACGGTTCTCTGCAATAAGCTAATCCTTGAAGTACTGAGAAGCAAATAAAACTTCTTCATTAAAAATATATTAAAAATTGCTTAAATAAAGCATGTGATGTGTTTACATTTTGGCAAGTGTTGGTACTTTTTTTTAAACTAACAAATTCATATGTCAAAACAGTGAAAATAAATTGTTAAAAATAGCAAAAAAAAAAAAATAAACTTTTAGTGAAATAAAAAAAATTAATTGCAAGAAATTTTTAAAAATCCATACAGTACAGAAATGATAAATATAAAATAGATAAAAACAAAGCGCTGAAAAATAAAATTTTTTCTTAAAAAAAAAATGTGTTGAAATGTGTGCGCACTAATAATTTAACAGAATTAACCGCCAAAACAGTTTATTGTGTAGTGTTAAATCCACGTACATACATACATAGCATATACACATAAATTCATATATATGTATGCATGTAATATTAAGTTATCGTGCATTTCGCTGAATGCTGGAAAACATTTGATTTTACGTGATGAAAAACTGTCACCGCAACTACAATAAATGAAAAACAACAACACAGCACAACATCAAGACGGTAAGTTCGCAGTTGCAAGCAACAATAACAACAACAAAAACGACAGCTAGATACAATAACAACCGGTTGCATTTTTTGCATTTACTGCGTTTAACCACACGTGTGTCTATTGTAGTGACGCTGACACACATTCTCACGCATATTTTGTAGACTTGCGGTCAACAAGAGACCACACCACTGCGACGTCCCAGAAAAGTGGGTGTGGTTGCGGTGAGCCGCATTGGTCTGCACTCCGGTGAACTTGCCTGGCGATTTTCGTTGTAAACTCAGTCGAGTAGGGAAAATTGCTGGTGGGAAATTCACGCGTGTGGCTTACTGTAGGCAATAAGAGATTTTTACCCATTGTGGTTGCTTTAAAACGTATTGAGTTGCACTTTTTGCTTATTATTTTAATTGAATTGTGAAATGCATGATTTTTTTTTTTAATTTTAATAAATTTGTAGCGCAGCGGTCTCAAAAATAATTCTTAATTTCATGGTTACTATTGTCATATGTTTTTGTAATTCGAGTTGAAAAAAATTAAATAGAAATTTTGTGAATTGTGAATTGAAAATATAAAATATAAATAATGAAAAATTAATATTTGCATTGAAAAACTTTTTTATTTTATTCCATCATTGCTTATTTTTAAGAAAATTTTTTATATATTTTAATTTTTATATGAATTCAAATTAAAATTGAGGTATATTTCCCTTAAAAATATTTAAATTAAATTTATTTTATTTTTATGTTACAAATTGCAAAAGATATTCATATATTGAGCATCCCTAACTTTATGTAATGCATTATTTTTCCAGAAAAAATTTATTTGCTTCCTATTTTCCGGAGAAAAATATTATTTTTGGTGAAATGAAACCTTTTTTTGGTTAAATAAAATTTTTTAATTGCTTAAATAAAGTTGAATGTCAATGTTTAGGAAGTGATATTTGGTTTATTATTTCTATATAATTAAATAATAATTAAAATAATTTTTTGTGCTAATTTTCTTTGTTATTGAAACTATTATTCACCGTTCCAGGATTTCCTGTATTCTCAGTGTGCTGCAAAGCTTTTTGAATGTAAATAACATCTAGCTCATTTGATTATATTGAAGGGAATATTAGAATTGAATTTTTTACTTGAGCAATTTCTGTTTGGAATTGCGTAATTTTATTTTCCCTTTAAATACCTATAACTACATAAAACAAAAAATTGAAATAAGAAATATTCAAGAAACTTTACATGCGTAAAAAATACATTCAAAAAATAAATAAATATTTCGATTAGTATTTTGTTTTATTATCTTATGGACATATTGACAATGGATTAATCGGATAAAATATTTAAATTTTAGTTTTAATTATATTTAACATTTTAGGTCCAGCATGTTTTTTGAGTATAAAATTATTATATTCCCTTAAAATCATGGATATATCCACAGGTTTTTTCAATTTGAATCAAAATGTTACTCATCCGCCCCGGCAAATCGTCGTTTTTTCCATTTAAATATCTGATTTGCTTAACACATAGTGTGAAACTAACTTGGGGTAGTCTTTGATACGATATAGATGTCGAGCAGCCTTTTAAAAATGTAGATAAGAAACGATTTGTGTAAAGGCCGAAAGACCTTGGAATTGCAGTGGTTGGTCGTGCCCACTTTTAGAATGAATATTACTTTGCACTTGATCTGTGCATGTGGAATATATATTACATGTTGGAAGACTGCTCGGAAGAGCCAAAAAATTGAGAATTGACCCAGCATTTATTTAATGCTTGGATTAGCTGAGCTCTTGGTGATGACTTTACTAAGCTTTTATCCTTCTCAGTTGCCGGAAGAGGTTTCTGGCCATACTTTTGAAATTCTTAAAACGGTTTATGCTTAGATGGCAAAAATCTGCTCTTTTGGCTTCGTTGAAAAGTTTAATGAGGTTTCAGCGTCTATAAGTTGTATGATTTTATTTTTGTTTTATTTAATAATATTTGGGTTCTTATTCGCGGTTTTATCAAATGTTTATACGAGTTTGAAGCAAACTGACAAATTTAAAAGTATTACTAGCAATTATTTTATTTATACTTTACTATAATATATATTTTATTATAACTTATATACATTTTTATGTACTACTAATTTGAAATTTTGAATAAATTGATATAGAAGTTCCTAAAATTTGCGTTTTGCCATCCAGAGCCAAAAACCGCAGTGGGGCTGCAGGTTGGAGTATTTGCGGGATAGACAGCTTATCTAACTGGTCTTCAATGACATCCAGTACTGTTACAAAGGGTTCTTTGTAGAGACGATATTGGTCTATGAACCTACGTTCAAACAAATTTTGTATCAGCAAATGTAAGAGTAGAATGCAAATTGCACTTACATCGACTCTGGCAGCCACAGCGGATTGCTCTTATGACTTGCAGTTTTTCGCTTTGTTTCCAGAATTTATTTCCTCAAATCCTTCTATCACCAAAAATGCTAACACCGCCGAAGTCATTTTATTTTTAATAATCACGAATGTATTAATACCAGTACAAAAATTAAATTGAATTTCTGGGTTTTTTTGCACAAGTGTGATGACAGCTGAGTCGCATATCGGTTTTACTTATCTACGAAAAAAGCAAAATCAAGTCGGTTTCATAACACCAATTCCAACAGATATTGGTCTTGAATTCCGATAAATGGGCAATTCTGTGTCGGTTTCTATAACAACCACTGATTTTTCGATTTCCATCGCCTTCAGTCATGCTGAAATAACTATGATGAGCGGAATTTCAGCCAAATCGGAAATGCAGAAAATTACCATTTTTTGTCACAGTCACATTTAAGATGAAATGACCGTACATATGAATGTGTGTATGTATAAGCATATCACGTAAATATTGTTGACATGTTTCATACTGATGACTGATGTCGGATGAATAAAAATATTAATAAATTTACATATTAAAATAGTAATTTTAGATAATAAATTACAATTTATACATTCGAAAGTGCGGTTGACTCCATTTACATGGCTTAGTAATATATATATATATATATATGTATACATTAAATAAATAAATGTAGCAATACGAAATTTCTGTTTTTGATAACATAAAGAAATATAAAATAAATACGTCCAGTTAATATTGTATGATATAATTTATATGCATATATACGAGTACTTGTGTTAGGCTTTGTTCTGAGTGACTGACGAATCAGCCCAGAGGCTAAACCACTGATCATACAGACTTGAAACTTAGGGAGTGTAGTGCCGAATGTCGTATGAATCCAATATGAATTTTCGGGGAAGTGGATCTGAGACCGATCTCTTCGAAAAAACCGAATTTACTCCTAAATCATTGGATTGACATGAATTCTGGTATATAGAAAATCTTTGACTGAATCGATATGGGGAACACTTTTTCTTATGATTTTGAGCACTAAACAACATTTTGAAACATTTTTTACGAAAAAATTCATTTCAGCTTTATTATTTTGATACATATATTCTGACACCTTTGAAGAGTAGTAAGCTATTTTGGTAAAAAAATAACAATTTTTGAAATTGCTACAGCAGATCTTTCCCAAAAAGTGGGTTTTGTGGTGGAAAACGGTTGCTTCTAAAAAAAAATTTTTTGTCTTTATAATTTTAGTCTTGATTTTCTTATTAAAAAATGTTCAGCGGTAATGGAAAAGCTTCGATTAAGTACTAAAAAATATTGTTCAGAAGCCGTTCCCGAGAAACTTGGCCACCGACTTGAAAACATAGTTTCAATAAAAACGAGGTTAAGGTTTCAAACGCTCTTAAATGCTCTTACTCGTCGTTAAAAATATGCGTCGGATCGATTTGAAGTTGTCAGAGTATTTACTTGAATACGAAGTATATGTACATCACGGAAATTATATTAAAAAAAAAATCGATTTTTGAAAATTCTCACTAGATGTAACCCCTAAATATTACAATGCAACGTTAAATTTCCGACAAGATTTTCGTGATCAGAATTTGAGAGCTGATACCAAATCTATAATTTCTGCATCATTCGATTTGCATTCTTAACTCAACCATACGAAAAAATATTTTAGTATCTGAAAGAAGGTTCTTGATATGGAGTAGATGAACAAAACAAGGAAAACAAACTTGCCGAAAAATCATTTTTAGCTTCAAAAAAAAAAAAAAAAAAAAAAAAAAAATCACCATTTTTTTTATAATTTCTTACAGTTTTTGACCAATATCTAAGCTATAAGCATACGATTATTGATTTTTTTCGGTTTTGCTTTGCTTATAACCGAACAAATAATTTTCAATTCCTGCATTCATACTCATCATCAGAAACATTAAGAACATTTGGTGGATTAGCGTCACTAAAACAATTATTGGCATATCTTCGTCCAAGTTTTGTTCACATCCGTTGGAATCGAAGTCATCGGTGTAGTCATTATCAAATTGACATATTTTGCTTGGATACGTCAACTTTTCGTAATACAATAATACAACAGTTTAATTTTTCTCTTGATTTCGTCTGGCTGTTGACGAATGTTCTCCGAAACGCATGCGATGGCTGTTCTTTAAGGGTTTATATTCACTTTTAATTTGCAAAAAAAAAAAAAATTTAGTTTAATTTTTCGAATGCACATATATTTGAGAATATTTTCCGAAAATCTAAAAATTGATCTCACTAAAAGTCTGGGAGATATGATCGTATCATTAAGGACGACTCATGGCGGAGTAGACTACGTTGTCTCGTCACCTCTATGCCTTTGTAAACGTTTTCCAATATATTTGGACTTACAATGCATTTTCCTCGAAACGCTGTTGTCAGTGTCGGGAGGGAAGTTGCTCTAAAAACGGCTAAACCGAGAGACTAAAAATTTCCACACGATCTTCTAAGACATATTTGTTAGGTTATGGTTGAAGAATAAAATTTTGACAAGAATTTCGATTTTTTAAACAACTTTCAATTGTAGAATTTCTCATAAAAAAATTTTTTTTTTTTGAAGCCACCATATTGTCGAAATTCTGAATTCCTTCGATTATTACCCGTAT